TGCTCTTACAGTGAAGGACATACCTATTTCATTATTAGTTTTTTAATCTCAGTGAGCCTATTGCTTACTTTAAAAATTATCTAACCAATTAAAGTGGTGTTAACTTTTTCTTGATGGTTAATCCCACCAATCTTCACATTACAGGCCTTCTTCCATCAAAACCAAGCATGCCAGTTTCAGCAGTTGCCGAGCTCTTGCTGGTTCCTGATGGACACAAAGGAGGTAGACCTCTGCAACAAGAGAAAAAGAAGAGAGCTTCCTAAAGGGAGAGTTAACATCAGTCCAGATTGCCTCCGCCTGCCAGAATCCAACTCCTTCCTTCTCCATTCTGGTTTTGTAGCAACTCCATTCCAAGCCCAGACAATTAAGTAACCAACCTTCATTCAGTCTAAAGCCCAGGGAGAGCGTCTTCTCTTGATGTTTTTGTGAAAACAAGAAACTCAGACATTTGCTTACTACAAGACTTCCTGCCATGTTTCAAATTATCATAATGTATCACAACCAAGTTTTCCCCTCTTAGGGTTTCTCTGAATGAGGAAACTGACCAGAGAGCTATTCTGGAATAACTCCCACTGTGGACACACTGTCCCAAAATTTTAAAAAATCACTTTTACTTCATAGTAACCGGTGTACTTCTGAAACAGGGCAAATATTCCACAGTAGTGTCCACATGCAAAGGTACTGTTGAATATTGTATTCCACAATATTTCTAGTCATGTAGCCATCTCAATCTCTTAAATTCTGTACTAAAATAATCAGATAAATCCAATGACTTTATTTATTATTGTTGTAAAGTACCTGATTATATTTTCTATAAAATGTTTTCCTCAGGATCTTTGCAGGAAGATTTTAGTCTGTATCTCTATTGCACAAATAGGAGTCAAGAAACTTCATTTCTGTGCTGAGCTTTGCCACTGACTTGCTGCATGTGACCTCGAGAAGTCATTCAAGCCTCTCCGTGCTTCCATTCACCATCAGTATAATGGGATAAGAGCACACATTTTCTGATTCCCTGGGATGTTTTGAAGCATAAAATTCGTAATGCACCACTGGACTTCTCAGATAAAGCTACAGACACAGTATTGTCTCCTGCATTTTTCCCTTCATTAACAGTCATTCTGGCCAACTGTCCTAACCTTCTGCCTTGCTGTAATCTTCTAGACATAATACTTCCTTTCAATTATGCTCTTCACTCAACCTGCTCATTAAATATAAAAGTGCCTAAGGCCAAAAAGTGACTGATGTTTCATTCCACTTCTCTAGGGAGCAAAGGGAATGGAGAGGAAGAAGATTAAAAAAAAGAGGACAGCTATAAGGCTTTGCAACAGAGTCCCCTTTTGGCAGCTGTACTGCTCAAGCTACACAAGTCCTGTGGCTGAATATCAGGTGGAACTGCCCTGATTTCTGAATGCTGGCAGCACTGAGTGCCTCACTATACAAGCTAATCCTAGAAGCAGACGCAATGATGGTACTGCTGTTTTTGAGACAGGCAAAACATAAAGATGGTCCCTGCTCTGCATGTTTGTAATCTGAAGAAAACCCCAGATTTTTCAAAAATGGCTTACAAGGAGAGGCCAAGGGAACTGGGTTTATTTAGTCTGCAGAAGAGAAGAGTGAGAGGGGATTAGGTAGCAGTCTTTAATTACCAAGGGAGTTCCAAAGAGGAGCTAGACTGTTCCCAGTGGTGGCAGACAGCAGAACAAGGAGCAATGGCCTCAAGTTGCAGCAAGGGAGGTTTAGGCTGGATATTAGGAAATGATTTCTTACTAGGAGGGTGGTGAAACACTGGAACAGGTTACCCGGAGAGGTGATGGAATGTCCATCCCTAGTGGTTTTTAAGGCCTGGCTCCACAAAGCCCTGGCTGAATGATCTAGTTGAGGATGGTCCTGCTTTGAGCAGGAGGTTGGACTAGATCAGCGATTCTCAACCTGTGGGTCGCAATCCAAAAGTGGGTCACAAGAATATATGAAAATGTCGCAAACAAACTTTAAAAATGGATCAACAAACTTTAAACATGGATTTTCCTTTAAAGGTGAAAAGCATGGGAAACCGTGGCTTTTCCCTTGCAGGCTGACAGAGTTCCAGCCTCCAAGGGGCTGCTTGGACCCCCACCCTGCCCCACACACCCACCCCCTGCCCCACACACTGAGGGTCTGGGGGCAGTAGGTCGAAAGTGAGGGGAATTGGGTCAAGACTGGCCATCAATGTTTACAAATGGGTCCTGGTACAACAAAGGTTGAGAACCACTGCACTAGATGACCTTCTGAGGTCCCTTCCAGCCCTCATGTTCTCTGATTCAATGAAATCAGCTCCCCAGAATCCACAGGAACGTTCAAGTTTTTCTTGGGGGGGGGGCAGGACTTCTGAGGCCCAGGGGCACACTTATGTTACATTGCCAAGCTCTCTTCTACAATCCCAAAGGTAGCACTTCTACTCAGCAGCCACATCTACACCAGATGCTGGTCATGCAGTTGCTACTGTACAGTTATTTAGTACTTGCAGACACTAGTACTAGATGACTGCACAGTAACCGGAGCAGCTTTTAGGTGATGCTGACTGTGCAGTAGCTCTGAATTATGCTTCGTGCCATGCAATGCTACTGTGCAGTAGTAATAAGCTACTGTGCTGTCAGCGTCTCATGTAGACAAAGCCAGGCAGTACTGAAGGAGTCAATTGACTTCCTGGACTATTCGCATCTACCTAATTCCTTCTAAACTCTTCATTCTACCTGTGTTAACCACCCTCTTCTTCTGAACGGTCCTGATGTTTCACCAATCAAGCCAGCCTGTCTTCTGCCCTTCTGCTGTCTGCTAGCTGTTCCTGGTCACAAAGCTCCTATTTCACAGCCCTGCAGATTGTTTTTAATCCATTTTGAGGAACTTATTTTTGTTTTTGCTTCAAAGCAGCCCTAGCCCTCCCAGCCTACTAACAAATATTCTCATTTCTTTTTGACCAGGAGGAAGATCTGTGCTGCAGAGTGTTGCTAACTGTGACTGATGATATCCCGGGAGATTTTTTTCCCCCCAACATGATGCAATATCATTAATTGTACTGTTTAACCCATTCACAGTATGAATCTCCCAGATTGCTTTCAATAGTCACTGGGAGATCAGTGCTGATTCCAGTAGACTCCTGGCCAGTCCGGGAGGGTTGGCAAACCTCGTGCTGTGCCATAGGAGATAAGGCACCTCACCCCTGGCAGCTCACATTTCAAAAGCCCATATCTGCCCATGTGAGGCAGCAGGTCTCAACTTTCTGAGACAAGGCCCTCCTCTACCCGGAGGTAGAGGCCTCTCAGCTCTTCATTTGCACTCTTTTTTGCCCACAGAAAAATGCTAAATCAAGTCTTCTGTGGCCAAGAGGCTCCCGGAGCCCCCAGCAGGGTGGGCAGCCTGCTTCCAAGGCCAGGGATCCCTGTGTGAAACCCCAGGTGCATCTCAGGAGTGGTGTTTGCAAGGCTAGCAGGAGGCTGGGGGCCAGGTCTGTGCTGCCCCAGAGTGGAGGGCAGCCTGGTGCTGGGCTCAGAGGATGGGTGCACGGGGTGGTTTGGGCAGGGCTCATGCTGCCTCAGGGCCCAGGCGGCCTCTGAGGGCCCTTCTCGCCCCGCTGCTCTGCGGCTGCAGGAAGGACCCAGAGGCACCCCGGGCGGAAGCTCTACTTGAGATACCACGGGGCCCGGGAGGCGGCAGGGACCGCTCCGCTCCTCCCGCCCCTACCTTGAGCGCTGCCACCGCGCTCCTGCTCCTCCCAGGAAGCGCTGCGGGGTGGGGGTAGAGCTTCGGGGAGCGGAGCGCTGCGGCCGGCAGGGGCACCGCCCCCTGGCTCCCGGGCCGTGCAGCTTTCTGTTGCCCCCGGTGCAGCGTTCCATCCTGTAGTTGAACGTTCCATTCCCCAGTCCAGCGTTCTTTTCCCCCCTGTGCAGCGTTCCATCCCTCAGCTGAACGTTCTATTCCCCCGGGCAGCGTTCCATGCAGACCCCTTCTTCCCTGCACCATTCCACTACTCCCCCTCCCAGCCCTGCAGCCCTTCACCCAGCTGCCTCCCCCTTTGCACCCCGTTCCTGACCCTTGCCAAGCGCTCGCTCCCCACGAAACTGCTGATGGAGAGGAGAGGGCCTGGGTTCTGGCTGCCCCCTCATAGACTCCTGTGTGAGAGCTTAGGGGGTGCCCTGGGCACCAACCTGTCATGTCGGGTGGGGGGAGCCCCTGGTAGCCAGGCCCTGGTATTGTGCTAGCAAGGGGCAGAATGAAACAGGCGGCAGTGGGCAAGGGGCATTCCCTCACTTCTGAGACCAATGGCAGTTTGTCAAGCAGATTTGGACCACTGAGGGGCTCTTATGTGAGACCCTCGCAGTGCCAACCTCCTCTGCTGTGGGAGCAGCAGCTCAAAGACCCCTGGGTGCCCTGCGGAGTGTGATGTTACTCCAGGGGTGGGCAATTATTTTGGGCAGAGGGCCGCTTACTGAGTTTCAGCAAGCTACTGAGGGCCACATGACAGGCAGCCCAGGGCAGATTAATATTAATTTTCTAAATTTTTTAGGGGCCCCGGAGGCTGGATAGAATGGCCTGGCGGGCCGCATTCAGCCGGGCTGCATTTTGCCCACCCCTGTGTTACTCAGACAGGACTCTGGGGGAAACCATATGGTTCAGCCCCAGCCAGTCTTGCAATCCCAAAATACCTCTGCGCAGTCAGAAGTGCCTTGGATTGAGAGACAGCTAGACTTCAAATAAAAGATCCTGGCTAGACAGAGGTGGTCAGCCCCCAGCCCATGTACAAGCCACATGTGGTATCAGGGTGCTGAGGAAAAGCCCCTGGGAATAAGCTACAGCTGTCCAAGCAGCCTGCTGAAACCCCAAATTAAAATGAGGGTAGATGGCAAAAACCTAATGGATTGTGGTTCGTGCATCTCATTAATGCACCAAAAACTGTGCTTTTCTTGTCTCCCAGCAAAGAATGCAAACCCCCTGAGAATAGTTTACCAGCCAGTGAGCAAAGGGTGAAAAGGTTATGGTTCATCGTCTCTGTTTCCCTTTCCCTTCCACCCCCTCCCAACACACAGAGAGCAAGGGATGCCATGACCATGGGGAAGGGAAAGACTCTTGGTTGTTTTTTTTCCTGCTCCAGACTGGCCAGTGAGGTACTTGGCAGATTGGGCGTGTATGAAAGGCATCCCATGCGGAGAGTTTCCTGTTGATCTGGGGAGAGGTGAGGCGCCTCTCCCTTTATCCTGCCTCATTATTTATATTTTGACTCTGGTTATTTCCATTGGAAGCTGATGCTGACATGGATATGAGCTCTGAATACAGCCTACTCCCTGCATGTTGAAATAATTGCCCCTCCCCTAATTCATCTTTGCTGACAGTGCAGCAAAGAGAGTTACTGTTGCTGGTGGGTAGCCACCAGTGTCATCTTGTAGTGTAGATGAGGCTCTAGTCCATCCTGCCTTAAAGCAGGAGTAAACTATGTTGATACAAATGACAGTTTATAGTTTTTTTGCTGTTTACATGAGGTCATTGCACTGTTGCAACTGTCCCGTTGAAAGGCTGCCAAAATCTTTAGTGCAGACAGGGACTGAGAACACGCCAGTCAATTTTTTGTAACGAACCAGTCTTGGACATACAGCTAGAATAGCACTTTCCAATGTTTATGTTATCAAGAAGCTTGATAACAAGCTCCCTAGTTTCAGTAGAGTCAGTTGCTGCCTGCCCAAAGCGTTCCTGTAGAATTTAATCTTTCTCTTCTAGTTCCCCCGATAAACATATTGTGAGGCTCAAAATATGTGAAATGAGCTGTGTGCCATGCAGCCAGCTCCAGGCATTCAAAAGTCATGAGACAGGCTCTGCAAAATGATTAGTTCTAAAAAGAGGGTGCTTCTTACTCCCCTGTTGGCTGTTGAAGCATTCGGGTTCAGGTTTTCTAATGATTTTTTCCTGTTGACATGAGGGCTTGAAAGGTCACTATTGCATAATTTTTAAGGTGCTTTAAGGAAAACACCAAACAATTGGCAACACTGGCACCTGAGAAAATGCAAACTGCCCTATTCATGACTTCCTAGCACTAAAACCTATAGGCTACCAACCTTTATTCACTACTAACTCTGCAACTAATTTGCATCTCCATCACTGATAAGTGAATGGGTGCACCTAAGGAGTATAGCCTATCTTTCTATCTTAATCAAAGGTAAAAACCTCTTGTGAATGATTTGGTAGGGTTGGAGTGCTGTAATCCAGGAAAAGGCAGACAGGGTTTGGGTACTTTGGGTAGATGTGAGATCTTTTATTAGAACAACTAAATCTAATAAAAGATATCACATCTACCCAAAGAACCTTGCCTGCCTATGTCCTTAGACCAACACAGCTACAACCAAGAACACTAAAGTAGTCTAAGAAACGCATAAAAGGAAAGAGGTTTTTTTGTGCTGCCTTTTATTGAACCAGCTGTATGGTTGGGAGAACTGTTGGACAAGCTTTTGGGCTCTTCCTCTGGTGACCTGATTTGAAAATTAACGTGAACTACTTCACACCTTTGTATTAGTTTGGACAGTCCCCAAACATGTGTGGTTTCCCTCCCTAGGGATCATTCCCTAGGTAAGGGAAAATGGTTCAGTGTTGTGTTAGTTTGACAGCAGGCAAAATGCAGGGCAGGGTGGCACACAGGTAAAGGGGAAAGGTTGGTATTCTGGAATCAGTTGCAGAATACACGTACCAGGTCTTATGCACTGGCAGCCAATGAGGCAGGGACTTGCTAGAGCAAACAGGGTTAACAGATTTTAAAATAACAGTGTGGATGAGACAGTAACTTGTTTTAACATGTTAGCTGGTCACGGTGCCCCTAGGTACACCCTGCTTTCAACTTTCTTCCATCCTTATGTTTAGCAGGTTATTCCTCCCCTTTCTCTGCCCCTGCCTCATCCATTCTTCCCTCTGTACTGTCTTCTCTGCAGTGACTTCTGATCCTGTCCTCTTGTGCCATCTGTACTACCTCATGCTGCTTGTTCACTAAACTACGCTTGAAAGAATGCTTGTTGAAGGTGTTGGTGGGATGTGACAGGGAGGCAATACTGTCCAAAGACAAAGTAGAGCTTTTTAGCAAAAGATTCATGGGGCTTTACAAGGATGTTGCGCTGCAGAATTACTAGGCTTTCCTCTCAGTGGGTAGGAGTTTGTTGTTTGTTTGTTATCATCTTCCTGGGGTAGAGGTGGGGAACCAGACCTTTATGTCCTTAGAGCCTAGGTAAGAATGTTACCTCTTATTCAAAAGGATTTTCAGAAAGGCAGCTGGCAGCCTACCATGTCCTTGAGTTCTTCTGGGGAAGAATCTGTTTCTGGTTGGTGCATCCCAGTAAAGCCCAGTGATATTTCTAAGGGTATAGACATAAGTACCATTGACTGCATATTAAGAGGAATGGGGTGGGGCAGGGATTTACTGCATATGAGTTGTTCTGCTGTAACTATCTGTGTGCATGCTCCTACCCCACAGCCAGTGGAAGCTTACCCTAGGTAACTTATACTTCTTTCCCTGAGGACTAAGTTGCTAGTGTGTTAGCTTTCATTTACTGCCTGGTAAGAATATACAAACAGGCTGAGTGGGTAGCATGCAGTAAGTATACCTCTTCTGTCCCTCTCAGTAACTGGGCACATGGCCAAACTAATCTCCTGCCCGTACAAGCATTGTTAGGATTTTCTATATTTGCACATACCTATGTCTGCAGATGTGATTCTAGGGTCTCTGCTGGCTTTAAAAGCTATGTATATCATACATCACTCTCCCATTAAGAAGAATCCTTGAATTTCTGATGGAGATAAGCTACATCTACTGCCATGCATCATATATCCCAAAAGGTTGTCCCTGAATGTTTCCCTAATCAAATGGCTCATCCCTTCTGTTTCCTCCTCACTTATCTTTAAAGAGGGTCAGTTTAAAACATGTTTTGTCCATGCCTTGATCTTATATGCAATAAGCCAAAATGCCAATGGTCTATCTTTTGTACATGTAGCATTTCCAGCCATTAACCTGACACAACCTCCCAGATGGAAGAAGAGGGATTCTCAGTCTCAGATCTTCAGGCCTTCAGGGAAAGCAAGCTCTTGGAGGTGACTCACACAGGTGAGGCAGGAGTTAAATGAGTTGAGCCTTGTCTACATTAACTCATTGGTTTGGCTGAGCTCCATGAGCAATCAAAGACGCATCCTTTCTGGCAGCTGTGGTGGCCCCTTCAACAGCTGGTGTCTCCCAGAAGCTGCATGGGCATATCCTTATTCTCATGGCTTTTTTGTGGCCTCTGTGCCAGCAACAGCCTTTTAATGTGGGTTTGTTACAAGTGAAGTAAAAAATCGCAGTTCCAGCAGTGACCCTCCCCACATGTAGATTAGGGTTTTAACGTGTTCTCCTTTCTCCAGGGCAGGTATCACATGTACCTTTCTGCCTAATTGTGCTCTGTCCCCTCACAGGTACTCTGAGCCCTAAAATAAGATAGGAAAACCAAGCTGGTTGGTCCCTTCTCCTGTCTGAGAGAAAGATGGCCTTTGATACTCACCATTCCTTTGTCTTGCATGCTTTTCAGTCTTTCCTTTCCTTCTCCCTGGCCCTCACTAAAAAAGCCACCTCTCTGGACTCTCATTTTGCCAGGAAGCGAAAGCGGGGATGAGGAGACACTTCAGCTGGACTGTTCTGAGAGCCCGGAGCTGCAGGGGCTGCTTAAGCCAGGCTTCGATGAGGAGACAGCCCAAGACCTCATCCAGAGTGCAGCCAGCAGCCCTGCTGTGGCACAGACGGATGCCCCTCTCAAACCCCCCAGCCACGAAGGAGCCTTCCAAAAACAGCCAGTGGACTCTACAGCCCGCCGAACATCCAGGGTCGAGCGCCCAACTATCTGCCCAGAATGCGGGAAGGGCTTCAGCCGGAGCATCCACCTGATCCAACACCAGCGCATGCACACGGGAGAGAGACCCTTTCAGTGTCCAGACTGCGGGAAGGGCTTCAGCCAGAGCTCCCACCTGATCCAACACCGGCGCGTGCACACAGGGCAGAAGCCCTACACGTGCCATGAGTGTGGAAAGAGCTTCAGCCAGAGCTCAAACCTCATCAAGCACCAGCGCATCCACACGGGCCACAAGCCCTACGTATGTGCTGACTGTGGGAAGATCTTCAGTGACAGCTCCACCTGCATCAAGCACCAGCGCATGCACACAGGCGAAAAGCCCTACAAGTGCCCCCAGTGTGGCAGAAGCTTCAGCCAGCGCTCTCACCTCCTGCAGCACCAGCGCGTCCACAGCGGGGTCCGGCCCTATGCCTGCCATGAGTGCGGGAAGTGCTTTGGCCAAAGCTCGGACCTCATCAACCACATACGCACCCACACTGGGGAGAAGCCCTACACGTGCCCAGCCTGTGGCAAGGGCTTCAGTGGGAACTCCAACCTCCTGAAACACCAGCGCATCCATACAGGGGAGAAGCCATACTGCTGCGCCCAGTGTGGAAAGTGCTTCCGCTTCCAACCTCAGCTCGTGCGTCACCAGAAACACCATACTGCATAGGGCCCATTGACCCACCCAGGGAAGCGAGGGCGCAACCTGGATAGGGAAAGCCAGCCGAGAATGGCGGGGAGCCCTGGGAGAAGGGGGTTTTCTGTTTAAGCTGGCCTGGCCAGGGGGCACAGTTCACACTGTCACTTGGGGAAGGAGGAGAGAGGGATGTACATTGCTTGCAGCAGGACAGGGGACAGGGAAGGTGGAGCATGAGAATCAGTGCCTTTGACCTTTAAGGGTGACAAGAACCACCCTGAAAACTGCAGCTAAAACCAAATCATTGCCTGGTAAACTGAGCAGGCTTTGCCACTGCAGTAAGACCATTTCCCAGTCATGTAGCTCCTTGAAACACAAGCTCCTGTCTCTCCTGCTTTCTGGTTCTTACTGGGAGAGGGTGGGGGGGTTAGGTATTATCATCTATTGATATTTATTGATTCAACCATATGATGCTGGCACTGGATATGCCTACATTGCAGAGAGGGCAGCTCATGTAGATGCATCTGAGCTGGTTTTAAGCTATCTTGTTCAGGGACTGCTACTGTAGCTACAGTGTTTGAACAGGGCTCCGCACAGAAGTGGTTATAAAGCTTCTCCAAGGGGTTTGCAGATGAGGTTGCAGTCTGTGCTGCCATACATACATTGCTAGCAGGACCCTGGCCAATTTGGAAATGTCTGTGTGAGCTGCAGTCAGTGCAGTGTAGATGTCCCCATTTGTGATGGCCTGCAGTGGGGCCGTATTCTTTTAAATGTTTTTGCCAAATAAAAGACCATAAACTTAATGTCTGTACAAATGTGCTGTTGTCTGACAGTTTGAATCATGGAGAACAATAAAGGCGATTAACATCCTGATAGAAGTTTCTCTCAATAAGTTTTTTCAGTTGCCTTTTGTGGGTGGAAATTAATGAACATTTTGTAAAGGTGTTAACAGCATGTAGGGTTTTTTTTAAACTGTTATCTGCTAATTGGCAATTGATGAAAGGTGATATTCATTGGAAAATGAGCTATTGTCCAACTTCTATGTTAATATTTAATGCATTTAATAAAAAAAATATATTTAAAGTTTCATGAATAACCCTTTTTTTAGCCTAGCACATGTTGGATTTGGAATTGTGGGGCACTGTGACATGTTTCAGAAAATCATAGTGTGTTATTTCTTGTGCTTTTATTATATTTATAAAGCCTCTACCATCTGACTTTCTACCCAGGAAGGTGCGGGGAGGGGGGCAAGATAGCCAGAATGTGACAAGGACTGACCCCCAAGGATGTGTTGCACAGGCATTCCTTGTGACATAAAACATGTACTCTTTGAAAATGGATTCTAGTTCAGGCAACAGCTTGGAGTGGGGGGTGGGAGAATTGGCAATAAGATGGGAGATGTCAATACTTGTAGCTCAGAAAGAACTCCTTGTAACAAACACAAAACTATTGAAATGCCCACTCCACCCACAGATCCAAATGGGGAAGAAATCACACTATACTTTAGCCCACAACATGCCGTGTACCAATATGTTGGGCTTCCAATTTTTTGTTGCAGATTTGAATGCAGGGATAATGTTAATGATCATGAAGGCTTATCAAGTGAGAGGAAGACTAAGAGGAAACATGCAAACATTGGTTCTGAGGAAGAGGACAGGCTATACAATAAAGCTGTGACCTGAGGAAGCCAGAGGCAACTACTCCCTCTCTAGCCACCCATCTTCAGTTCCTGGGCCTAGACCAGATATTTTAAATTAGTTTCCTTCTTTCTTAGAATCATAGAGGGCTGGAAGGGATTTGCAGAGGTCATCTATTCCAGTACCCTGCCTGAGGCACGATCATCCCTATCCAGACCATCCTACCCAAATTCATCATCTAAACTCTTTGGGCATTTATACACATACTTTTTTGTCCCACAATGCACTGGAGATCCGCTGTTTTGGAGCAGACTTGGTTAATCAAGTCTGCTCTACACACGAGCTGCAACCTGCTCTGCACCACATGCAGTTGTATAAGTGGCGAAATGCGCATATGCGCACAGAAAATGGTAGCATGCGTTTGAACTAAAGCACCTTCTACATGTTTTAGTTCAAAAGCACACTGCCGCCATTTTCTCAGTGCTGAGATGAATCTCGCCATCTATACAACTGCAAACGTCATAGCGCCAAGTGCTTTTCAAAGCACCCAGTGCTGCAGCGCTTGCATGTCTAAAAATACCCTTTGTAAAACTAGCATCAACCCTGACAAACAAGACATAACACCCTAACTTGCCACAGGTAAAGCTGGGGAACTATGGCAGCCACTGTTCTGCTTCTATGAAATGTCAATACGTGCTCAAGAGATCTGGGTAGAGGGCCACAGCCTCGCTGCAGATGAAGGGGAAAACCCCCACAGGCCATACCAGTCTGACCATGGAGTAAAATTCCTTCCTGACTCCAAGTATGGTGATTGGTCTGACCCTGAACGGAGGGGCAAGAGCCTCAAGCCAGGAACCTCCAGCTTTGGTCCCAGCAGGAGCATTGATATGCCCTAAAAGTCGCCAGCCTTGGCTGTAGCCAACACCCAATGCCTCTGAGGGAGACATAAAAACAATCTGACACGTAGCAAAAAGGGGGGTACGGGCAACCAGCAAAGCCCAGAAGCACAGGAAATGCCCATAGTAGTCTAGATCATCCCTAATCAGTGACTGTCCAACCTGAACACCTCCAGTGATGAAGAGTCCACAACTTCCCCAGGCAGTCTGTTCCACTGCTTAACTGTTCTAACACAGAAGAAGTTTTTCCTGATATCCAATCTAAACCTACTTTGCTGCAACATCAAACCATTGGTCCATGTCCCCCTCTCTGCAGCAAGAGAGAAAGTGTCCTTTCCCTCTTCTTTATGGAAGCCCTTCAAGTATTTGAAGACTTAGTATCATGCCCCCTCTTAAGTGCCTTTTCTGCAAGCTGACTATACTAGCTCCTTCTGCCTTTCCTCTTATGATTTGCTTTCCAAGCTTTTTACAATCTTAGCTGCCTGCCTCTGGACCCACTCTAATTTCTCCAAGTCCTTTTTGAAATGTGAAATTAGGGTGGGCCCACAGCTGCATACAATACTCCAGATGAGACCTAACCAGTGCCAAGTAGAGGCACTATCACCTCCCATGTCTTGCACCTAATGCTTCTATTGATGCAGCCCAAAACCACATTTGCCTTTTGTGCTACTGCATCATGCTGCAGACTCGTATTGAGTCTGGGTGTGCCTGTGTGTTCATTAATGCACCGTAACTACAACGCATTAAGTTTAGTACTTGTAATGACAGGTTCTAACTCAATGCGCTGTAATTGGCACTACTGTGCATTAGTGCAAATGAATGCTTTTTTAGTAATATTAATGCACATTAGACTAAATCTACTCCACATTAGCACGTTATCATGGGTTTTGCCTGCTGTGTTAATGCACAGTAGAATTAGTCTTTTGCTCATTAAGTGTCTCATGTAGACATGCCCTCTGTGACCTACAAAACTCCCAAGTCCTTTTCCATAGAGCTGCCATCCAGCCCCACGTCGTCCATTTTGTATTTGTGTTTTTGATTATTCTCCCCAAAGTGTAGCACCTTACAATTATCCACATTGAACTTCATCCTGTTACCTTTAGAACCAGAATCAAGAAAACCCATGCTGTGTATAGGCACTACAATCAAATTCTGTATGCCTGTAGCAGGGAGACTTCCAGCAGACTCAGATCCATTGTTGGTATTTTCTTTGATTACCTCATCCTTCTGAATCTAATGCCACACTCATGTTCTTCTACAACTCATGTACTGATCCTAATCTCACTGCCACGAAGTAGCTGGATAAGGGCATCTCTCATACCCCATCTGAGTATCAACTGCAGGTTCTGCTATGTCCACCTAAGCTTTTCAGAAAAAGGCAGCTAAGTTTTTGGTGTAATAAAGACCCTATTGAAGTGTTTATCCATGCATTTATTTTATAGATGACTGAATTCTTAGAAGCAACGAGTGGTTTCAGGTTCCCCTGTTTTACTCAAACCTGCATAACATGCATAAAGCTTGCATAATCTGTTTTAGTCCAACCTGCATAATACATTCCCCAGTGCCTCTCATATCATGCCTGAGCTAGAGTATTTATTTTAGAAAGATTTCTTCACACCGAGAATGGAATCAAACCAAATTTTGGGGAGCCCAGCGTGCAATACCTTAAGTGGTCCTGACTGTTAGTGGCCTAGTGCTGAACAGTTCCAGAGTGTTGGCTCCTTTGGCATGTATTTGCATACTAAAAATCATCAGCTGGGGTCCTGGTCATCGCTGTTTAAAAATCACAAATTCTCTGATTAAAACCCCAAAAGCCACATTTTTCCATAATTAAAATGAAAAGCCACTATCTATATATATATATATATCAGTTAAACAGAATGTTTTATTGATAAATTTTCAATTTTAAAGCAATTTGGAAGCCTACCAGTACCTCAATAATTACAATAAAATAAATTCTAAATACATATATATTTTGGCGTTTGATAGTGGGGTTTGCTTTTTTTTATCATAGAAAATCAGAGTTCCCTCTGCCCCCTTCACTAACCAGTATGTGGGTCCAGCTGTGTCAGTCCCCCTGTTCCCCCCTGCTTTGTGGCACTGAGCAGCCCTGATATCCTGATGTCCCGCCCCTCCCCATGCTGTTGCCTCTCACTCCCAACACACAGCCCTTTGCTCCCCACCCCCTGCACCAGCTCTGCCAGAGGGGGTCCCCAGCTGCTACAGGACCAAGGTCAGGGCCTGCAGCCCCCTGCCCCCACCAGCAGCATCTGAGCCCCAGTTGCCCCATGTGGGAGGTGGCTGCTGCTGCAGCCAGAGTGAAGCTTGGAGCCCAGCTCCCCCTATGGACAGCACAGCCAGAGCAGAGCCCATGGGGGGAAGAAGATCCAGACTCCTGCTGTGGGGCTCAGGACTCCCTGCCCTGCTGCCCTCCCCCTGAGGGCTTCTTCAGCCCAGCAGACAGCACCTGATGCAGGAGGGCGGAGAGGCTCAGTACTGCCACTGGGAGCACCGTGCCAGCTGTGCCACCATGGCAAGGGCCCCCTGCCCACCCAGCAGCAGTAGGGGCATTGGTATGGAGTTGTGCCCCCCAATTGCAGGCAGGGAGGGGGCACCTCACCATGGCGGTATGACTGGTGAAGGGCTCCTGGAGGTGGTGATGGCAGTGGCAGCACCAAGCATCTCTACTTTCCTGTGTTGTGTCCCACCTGCTGGGCTGTGGAGACCCCTGGGGAGCAGGCAGCAGGGTGGGGAACCCCGAGCCTGAAGCAGGTAGCCTGCATCCTTCCCCTCCCTGCACACAAGTCTGGGGGGGCATGTGCCCCTCCCATGCCTCCTTCCCTGGAGTGCATACGGTGGCAGGGAACCAGCCCCGCAACCACCCTCTGAACAAGCCACCCTTGCCTCCCTCCCATTCCCTCAGCCAGGCCCTGCAGCCACATATTCCCAACCCAGCCCCAGGCCACACACACTGCCCCAGCTGGACAGCAGCTGCAGCCCTCAAACCTATTCCACTCCTTCCCTCATCATGAGGGCTTCAATCTGTCCTTCCTTGCCCTCCCTGTATCACTTATGCCCTTTCCTCCCATATGCAGGAAGGCAGGGTGGGATCTGCTCTTCATGCTGCCTGATTCTATTGCTGGCCAAAAGGGAAAGGTGGGACACGTGTCTGCCTTCTCCCCCCACACCCCTTCACCTGCAGCCGGACCAGAACCAAGCAGCATGGGGGGCAGATGCGGGAACCCTGCTGCCTTTCCCCCTGGAGCCCCGTGCTGCCCGGCAGCAGCAGGGGGTACAACTCCATGCCACCGGCCCCACTACTGCCAGGCAGGCAGGGGGCGCCTTGCCATGGTTGCGTGGTTAGCATGGGGCCTCTGGGGGTGGGTGAGCATGGTGGGGAGCCCTGAGCCCACAGCATGCAGCCCACATCCACCCCTGTCCCATGCACAAATGTAGGGGGATATGTGCCCCCCACCCCCTAGACAAGCTGCCTGTGGCTCCGTCCCACCCCATGTTCCAG